AATTCCTTCTACTTATGTACTATTTGCTGATTCTTATCGCAGTCGGACATCAAATGGTGTGTAACAAATTCTCATGGCAATGCTTTAATGCGATTAGTATTATCAAGTTCATGCGGCAATTACTTAGCTCTACTTGTTTAAAGAGCAACAGACCATAAGATGCACGTTTGGACTTAGATAGGATGATGCCATTGCGGGGCGTTGTAATAATGCATAATACTTCGTTTTTTTTTTGCATTCATTATATCGCAATCGCATTTTAAGTGCTATAAGTTTTGTTGATTTGGGTTTGCACGTTAGAGAAGGATTATCGTGATATTATTATTGTTGACATTCAAACATCTATTTATGTTTTTTACTGAGGAATTCCTTCTACTTATGTATTATTATATATTAAATTCTCATGGCATTTCAGGCATTTTCATATGATCCTGAGGGAGAATTTATGGTTGAAGGATACCAACCTTTGCAGTTATCCGATTTCAATGAAGTTTACCCAAGGTGACGAGAGATATATCTGATTGCTCATTCATGATGTTATGATAGATTTAAGGATGAAGTGTGTTTGTGAATGTGAAATTATTGCTCACAAGAAGTTTGATACATGTAATGCTTGTGTGATATCAGTGAANGTGATAGTAAAGTGTAGTGCTAGTGTGAGAAGATGGCAGTAGTAGTGATGATAGTAATTCATTAACAGCAATAAAAACAATTTCAGATTTGATGCATACTTGAACAAGTTATATTTGAGTGCAGAGGAGGAGAGCTGTTGGATCGATTTCAGACCGTACATGCATAAAAATCCAAATCGAGTCCCGTTAAGTGCATCGCTTCAGTCGATATTCAGTTTATTCAGAGGGCTGGGTTTGCGATTCCTGATCGTTTGTGATCTTCATAATCGGGTGAGTTTTATTCATTTATTGTGCATGTTATTTACCGTTGGTTATTATTGTTGTCATTTATTATTATTGTGTATCATTTAGTATTATGCGTGGAATTTACAGGTTTGTGGTATTATAACGCGAAAAGATGTGGGACGTTTCAAAGAAGCACGTCATAAAAAGAAGTATTCGATTCGGGAAATATTCGTTTCCGATTATCATGACTGATTCATTTATTATTGTCATTGTTATTATTATATTATTATTACTATTATCACGGTTTCCATGTTGCTACTTCTGTGATTATTACGGTTGTTACTATTGTCGTCGTTATCACTATAATTGTCACTTTTAGTGTTGTTATTGTAGTGTTTTGTACGTTCAACGGATAGGCCTTATAGATTTTGTTTTTGTGCACATTTGCATTTCAGTTTTCATCTCAAATCCCCAAATCACTTTCGATTCGTATTTCTGATTGATTTCGCTTCAAATGGAATTTCTACTTTCTGTTGTTTTATATCATTTCTTCATATCGCATCATTCCATGTGAAGTATTAACGAGTTCTAAGGCTGTTTTAATCCTCTTCGTTACACTCGGTAAACATGAAGAAAATGATAAGAATTCACCATTATAATCGTTGTTATTGTGACTGTGACACTCGCAATGTTAAATGTAATCGAAAAGGTTATTTGTGTAGAAACGCGTTCAATCTGTATCATACAAACTCAAAAATTCAAACCGAACTTTGTCATTTTCATCAATAAATGTTCACTTTTGTGATAGCACGACATCTGCTAACCGATGACAGAAACGAATCTTGAATTGATGAACAAGCAGATTCGCTGGAATCCTTATACGGGGTATTTCTGTAGGTTGAATCTAGATCGAAGTGAGTAGTGCCACGGATTCGCCGATAATGTGATATCTCCTACTAGAGAGTTTGTCGACGAGGGGAGCGAGACGATTCACGTTGGTCTTTTGATGCCGAAATCGTGTTCACATCTCCGAATGTTCATGAATTGCAATGAAACACTAACAATAAGCATTATCTGATTGAAAATAATATTTATTCGATAAAACATATTGCATACAATTCATATTATACGACGACCGATAAATGAGGCATACATACAATTTCATAAAACAATTTGTTCGATAAAACATACTGCATACAATTCTTTATATTACACGACGAACGATAAATGAGGCACACATACAATTTCATAAAACAATGTCGTGGCATGATAATTATAGCAGTGATTTTTCGAGGCAACGGTGTATTTATTTCACATCCACAAAGGTATTCGCATCCATCGTTCACTGCAATCTCCATTCACCTCAGCAATGTCGCCCGCTCCGATTCGTTTTGACCAGCATGGCCTATAAGAGATAAAATAACTTATGCCCAATTTTGTCTGCGATGATGCAGACAGAATAAATTGCTATAGAACACCGATTTTATTTCTAAACCACACATTGGCCATCGTCATTCTCATATTCCGGCAACAGAATTCCTTATTTCGCCAACAAAATAACAAACAGCCAATGGAAACCTGATTCGCGAACTCGATGGTGCGATACGACTCGTAGGTAGCCGCGCTATCCGGTCGGATATTTGCGATCAGCATCGTCTTCGATGAACCAGCGCCCAATGACTCTGACAGCGCTTTCGTCAGAGGGTCGCTGGTGTACGGCACGTGGTTACCCTGAAAATGAGCGTCTTTCAATCAGTTGAACATTTCTATCGTTCAAAAAGAGCATCCTCGATGACCTTCCGTTATTCAAAACAAACAATTCAATGATTTATTTTACGAGATTATCACGACGAACTGATTTTACCTTTGAAATGGAATTCGATGAATCCAACAAAACAAGGCAAATCAAATTAACCAATTCAGATGAATTAACTGTAAATGAAAAAGCCCAAAATGTAGTACCTGTGCAAGCTCAGCGCGTAATACAACGCCCAGTTGACTGAGCGATTTGTTGATATATTTCGTCTCCTCCAAGCGCTCACCGCTCACTCCAGACTCCTTCACTCGTTCCGAACCGGCCAAATCCACCAGTGATATACACGACGATAAACATTTATCTGAAATTTGCACGACTTCTTTTCAGCTTGACGAGATGCAAAATGATACTNCACTGAGGATATCATTAACCGTTGCTGTACACTATTAGAAGTAACCATTTTCAAAACATTATGTTTACGATCGAATTGAGGAGCGTTGATTTCAGTTCACCGATATTAGCAACATTCTTTGTAAGAATTTGGCTGCCTCGATAAATGTGAAATATTAAATAACTATTGAACTGAAAATCAGAAGTTTAAAATGCAGAAGCTTTTGTACTTTGTTGGGGCAAGTAGCTGTTGATTTGAATCCTGACGATGGTGTGGCCACGCGAGGAATACTCGCTGGTGTCCGTTCTTGCCCACGATCTGAGCATATCAGATCGAGCGATTCCCGTAAGTGCCTGAAGTTCATGGCATCAGATCAAACAACTGAAACAAGTTTTAAAAAAATGCTGATCGTAATTTCATAATTTAAAGGTGAAATAAGTCAATTCCATGATCGTATCATAATAACAACTTGAAATTTCTTGCAAATTTTCTTATTCGAATTTTCTTATTTTTCGAGAAAGAGTGTTTTAAAAGCAAAAGATGTAATGGTTAATAGAAACCTCATCAACTGTCGTAATCGCCAGTGATGTCAATTCTCGGAAGTCCGGATTGTTGTTGGCGAAGTGCAACGTGAACGGACGTCTTTCGTGCTCGTCGAGGAGGTCGTAGCATTTGCCCACGTAGATTTCCAGGATGGACAGCGATATTTCTACCTGCAATGTTCCAAAGTCATCATAACGGTAGCAACTCTGATTGAAAGGTGATGAATGATTTGCTGTTATCCTGCTTAATCAACCGCCTTAATCCTTCCCTGACTGAAATGAAACAAGAAACTGCGAGGGTGACACTTCATATTTGTGAATTGTGACCGAAATTCGAGAAAACTGATATAAAATCAAATGCACCCACCACCCATCCTGCGAGTTGCAGTTTGGCACTCGAATCGAACAACATTGCCAGTGCTCTTGGAATAATACCGGCAGAATCACCATCTCCTCCCCTCATCGTATACGTCTTGCCCGATCCCGTTTGGCCGTAGGCGATTATCGCCACATTCGATCCGTACAGAGCACTCTATAAAACAGTAACATTAAAAGCGACTGATTTTTGAGCTTTCCGATTCTAAACCAAATTTTCTAAGTAAGCAAAACAACAGTTAAATTCTAAACAAAACTGACTTAAATTTAGAAATCGTAAACCATTTCAGCTCACTTATCGCCTATCTATTTCAGTGTTTCGAAGCAAATTCGTTCATTCAATCCATCTAATGCTGAATAAAATGCACAAAATCAAAAACAATTACCCTGATGAATTCGCTGACCGACTCGAACACATCCGATTGTGAGGCATCATCCAACCAAAGATGCTCGCATTCACATTGCACTGCTTTGCTTCTCTGAAAGCAAAATTTTAAATTTTCAGTACTTCAACAGCTGACGAATCAGTATTTGCTTCCTTTGAATAATTACTTTTGTCAGGCTACCAGACTTCCATCCCAACTGCAAACTGCTCCTCAGAACGAGCTCTTTGTTACGTGCGATTATCGAGACCTTTACACGTAAGATATTCGAAATAACGAAACGCTTTCAAGAGCATCGGAAAACGGGCGAAAATGAGAGCTGGACACGGCACTCACGTGCATAATCTGAACGGTGTTGTCGTTGACGATATCGATATATTGGAATGTGATGCATTCATTACCAATTAACGGCCTTATTCGAACGCACAGACGAATCCTGCCCTGCAAATGAACAACACCATCAGCGTATGCAACAGCAAATGAGCTACTACAAGCACCTCTACACAAAAACGATAACTGTTCAGACGAATGTCCACCACAACGGTTTAATATTCTGAGTCTAGCTGGTGTCGCCGTGATTTTGATGGTGTCCATTGCAACACTATATAAATAGCTTCGATTTTAGTGGATTGATAATGAAGAATACGCGATTTAAGAGACCTTGAGATCGATGCACGTTTCATATAGCTGACGAATTTCGATGTCGTTATCGAGCAATTTCAACTGCATCAGCTCGAGTTTCTCCTTCAGCGTCCTCAACTCGTCCTCAAGTGCCTTTATTCTGGCCGCCTCTGTCGTAACCTTTTCTTGTGCTTCCCGGGCACTATCCATCCACATCTTCTTGCTCTCGCTTTCCTAAAAATTCGTTATCAGAATTTCTATGAAATAAATCTTCACAGTCATATCAAAAATTCACATTAATATATAATTTCACTTCAAGTGAACATCTGAATTTCATGTAATTCAGACAAATCAGTTTCATGACTGCATCACTGCAAAGCATCAAAAGCGACTCGAGTTGAGATTCACGAATCGGGAAAACCAAACGAATGCAGTATATACCATTCGTAATTGTTCATTCGCTTCATCCAGTTGTTTTCTGAGCATTTCTATCTCTGCGTCTTTCTTCGATCTTTCTTCTTGCTGCTTTTGATTGATTTCTGAAATTAGGAAGCAAATTAGGAACCGAACCAAAATTCAATTATCACATCGCACTCAATCGTATTACCAGTATCTGTCAACGCTAAATCAAACACCCACTATCACCCTGATAGTTGATGATCGTGTCGTGATCAATCTTCACGCTCATTACCCATTCATTGAACGATAATTCGAAGTTCCCGCTCCTACGTTTCTCAAGTCAAACCGCATTTAAAGTAAATAAAAAATCTTTGTTCTTCCCTCTCTTCTTATGAATCCAACGAACGCATACTGACCCCAATCAGATCCGGTGTCACAGATCTTCTACTATGAAAATATAGTTCTTGTCCGTTGAACTGAAAATGAAATGGGAACTGTTCATACGATTTGATCTTGATGGCAGAGTGCTGCCTCTTGCTGTTGTTGTCGATGATCGATGCGATGACGGCCGTGTGAAGAGCGGATGTTGATTCGATGCCGGTTGTGAAATCGATGTCGTTCTCACAGGCGGACGTTGTTGTTGTTGACGGAACGACAGTGACGAGTTCGTTCGGTTAATTCTCTTGCTCAATTGCGGCGTGTTATCAGTGGCATTCACGACGGTAGCAGCCGATTGCACTACGCCTCTCCAGCCACGGTCATCCACAGATTGTGCACGACGTCTGATCGACCCAACTGGTGCACGGTTTTCTTGACGGGGCGTTCTGGCAGCGATCGGTGGGAATTGACTGCTGACCGGGATTCGGCTGCTGACGAATTGTTTCGACGACGAGTTGGTATTAAACATGACGATATCGGCAGACTTTCACCTTACACGCAGACAATCAATGAACACTGAATGCTGCGACTGTGAATGACTGGATTTATATAGTGCTTTTTGGAGGGCATTCTGCTCATTCCAGGCAGCATTTTGACCACACTGGAGTGCATATAGGCTATCGAAGTATTTGATCATTAAGGTGGTCAAAAACATTTTGTTACAGTGGAGCGAATGATGTTTGTGACTACTTTTGATATACTGATTTCAAATCTGCAATCAGATTTGCTCTTTCACGTTCACATTTCGTGTGAAATGCAATTGGGGCAATTGGTATTGTTTTATGGCATTATTTGAATGCTAGCACTCCAAAAACACGATAGTCCATCTGCACTGAGCATGTTGCTGGTAGCAAGATCATAAAGCATCAACACTTATCACTTTCACGAAATCACTTTATATCCCGCATCACTGTGAGCTCATAGAAAATATCCCTAAATCTGATGAACTTATGAGTTTATAATGCATTATTTTACACTTTCATGTTGAATTTTTCTTGGTGAACTTTAATACTGTATGCGACGTACGTTTCCACCAATAGATCTCCGTTAAAGAAAACAGTTACCAAGATGATTTCAATCCAAATATCATGGCAGATTACTGTTGGTTCCAGCGCAAGAACAGCTCGACGGATGATTAGATGCAAGGTTGATGACTCCGCCAGCAGAATTGCACTATCTATTTTACTCACAATCAGGAAGTCACAGAAGTTCACATTATTTAGGTATGCTTAACGCAAAACGTCGTGTATAATTTTTGTAATTCTGCGCATTTGTCGAATACCATGGTAAAACGGAGGCGTTCAGTTGCTGAGCAACTTTCAGCAAACCTGTTACAAGAGGTGATATGTCTGATATCTCTGTATGCGGAGCAATGATCAAATTTACAGAACTAAGCAGTGCAGTGGATTTTTTCAGCAATGAAGGGTGATATTGAGATAAATCTATGATCCGTTGTTTATTGTTTAC